ATCCTACTACCCTTGGTCAGTTTGGGTCAGGTGCCTGAACTGTGTGTCCCAGCGCTGCCTGTAGCGAGACAGCGAGAGCTGGGAACGCAGCTGCAGTGTCAGAAGCGGAGAAAGACCTTGAATTCAGTGCAGGCATTCCCCAGCGCCAGCTGAGAACTGATCAGTGCTGCTCCCTGCATCCAGGAACACAGCTTCCTAGCAGCCACAGTAAAGAGAGTTAACTCTTTCCTGGCTGAACCCAGCACAGCATGACATTGGGTTCCAAACTTAGTTTCAGACAAAAAGAGAAAAAATCTGAAGCTGTTGAAAACACCACGGTTTAACTTTCAAGCTATGGATGGTGTAAAGGACGACTATTATGATGTTAGCATAACGTTCTATTATGCAAATGATATTTTATTATGTATACTACTTTTTTTTTCTTGAAGGAGTCCTGAAGCAATACTTTAAAATGAAATGGCAAATGAGTTTTTGAAGCAGCAATCCCCATCTGTCATCAGTCACGCCAATCAGCATCACAGGAGTTAAGAACTGACTTAGTATCACTCATCAACATCCTGTGTCTCCGGAAAAACCCATAATTTACAAGTCAATAAAAATGGCCCTTTTAGAGCAAAGAGAGGAGGTCTAAAATGAATGAGCTAACAGTGAAGATACAGCTATTCCATCCTTCCACCAAGTTCAACAACTTCTTTTTCGGCCTGTGCTTTTGTGCTTTTGTTATTGCCCCATCCCGACAACAGTGACCCCTGACATGAGTCAGGGAGCATGGATCAGTGTTAAAAATAATGGGTTTACTATGTTCCATCTCTTGGGAAACACGTTCCTTAGCATGAGACATTCCAGATAAATACCTGATCTGATGTTAAACACTATAGTGCGGACCTTCAGACTAAGGGGGCAGAGAGAGAGAAGTAAGAGGAACGACCCTGAAAGGTAAGCAGACTCCCTGATGAATTATTCTGAAGTTATGTGGACAACAGAAAGCACTCCTCAGCCTATGAACACGCGTATCCAGAACCGTTTCTAACGCTCAGCGCTTCTGAAGAGACAGCTTTCGCATTTGGCTGCAGTTCTCTGCGTCCTCACGATGAGAGCCGGGCTATTTTAGCTCCAGGTAGTTACTGCTTCAGGTGTGCATTTAGCACGCTTTTTTCCGAGAGAGACAACAATTAGCATGCTCGCCATGTGAGACAATAGATAGACAGGAGAAAACCCAACAGAAACCAACCTTACGAGATCACAAGTCAAAGGAATCCCCCCGGTAAGCTCACTCCGAGGGCACGAGGATGCTAAACCAGACGCCACCTTACACGGTGCCTCACGAGCTCCCGTCTATGCCACCGGTGGGGTTGTGCTGCCACCTATTGCGAAGATGAACTCCAGGCTCGTTTCACATTTTGCTAGGCAACACGTGGGCGAGAATTACTGCTCGACTTTCCTTTTTTTTTTTTAGTTCATTAACAATACTTTCTTCCTAAGTAGCTGCTACGGCTCATTGCTGGAGACAGGATGGAGGCATAGGTGGGCTTTGGGCCTGTCAAATACAGCTGTTCGTAGTGTCTGATCTCCAATCTTCCCCGAGGCCCAGCGGCATACAGAGCCCGAGAGGCCCGCAGCTGTCAGCTCGGAGGCTGGAGCAAAGCTGGAGCCCCGTTTCTCTGCCCTGACGAGCAGCCCAGGCGTCCAACAACAGCCACGGGCAGAGCGGCAGCAACGCTTCCTTCCTCCTTTGTCGGGGGAGCACGGGGCCATAGGTCAGCACTCGTCCTGCCCGCCTGAGATGGCACTTGAGCCCTGCTGTAAACCCAGGACTACGCCTCCGGGACATGCTGCTCCTTCCCCAGAAGCGCAGCCCTCGTACGCTATACACGCATCCCGCCTAGTTCCGGCAGCCGTGCTTACAGCCCCAAGCAGGACACGCTATTGCCCCAAACTTGCCTTTCTGTGCGTGCGGAATTTAGGGAACCTTCTTCCAGGAGGCGTGGGTCAGCGCATCCCTAGAGGCAGCCACGAGCAAAACCGGAACAGATCAGGTTGGTGCTTCCACTTCTCCATAGGTAGAGCAGCCTGGCACCGGTCGAACTTCCCAGTTCTCGGCACGCCCTCCCGCACCTTTCACTTCCCGCCTACCTGGGCCCGACACATTCGCCCCCTTCAGCAGTGTCGGCTTCTCCGCCTCCAGCTCTTCAGGAGTACCAGCCCAGTCGGGATGCAGGCATCAGGCCGTCACCGCCACCCTAAGGTGGCTTAGCTGGGAAAACAAGGCCGGCTGTCGGCTCACAAGCCAGCAGCATGCATCACCGCGCTCCCCTGCGCTCTCCTCTTTCCAAAAACCCTGTCCACGCCTGCCTCGTCGCTCAATTCCCCTTCCAGCTTTAGCAACGGAATGGTTCGTAGGAACCGCGGGTTTCCACCTCCAGCAGCAACACAAACCAGGAACAGCACAGGAGGCGCTCCTGGACGACCCGGATAACCTGCTCGGGCCGAGCAGCCCACGGGATGGTCACATTTACCTTTAGGGCTCTCAACTTTGCGACTTCTCACCCCGTCAGTTGGTTTCCCGGGAAGCAGGCTACCTGGGGAACTAAGCCGGGGCAAAGCCTGTGTCCCTCAGCCCTGCCGACACGCTGCTGGCCAAGCAGCGGGGATGGGGAGCACCCTCGTTACAGTGATGTGAGGTCTCGGGGCCACGGGCACCCCTCTTCCTCAGCACCACCCGGCCCCGTTCCAGTGCTGCCATCAGATCAGACCCTCCAGCAGTCGCCCGCACGGTTCCAAGCTTCTTCCCTACTCCCGGCAACTCCTGTTGTCCTCCTGCCTATTTTAGGAGGCGGAAGAGAGATCTCACTTTCCAGTTGGCACACGACTCGCACACACGCTGTCTGCGCTGCGGTCAAAAAAAGCAGGTGGCAATCAGGGTTTAGCCCAAATCCAGGGGCCATGAGAGCGTAACACAGGCTGAAGCCTTCGGAAAGGGCCGAGGTCAAGTCCCGGGTCTACTATGCAAGGTCACCCTGGTTCTCCCAAGAGATCCACCTATCTTAAGGAAGCTGAGATCAAGAGACAGCATCCTGACTTCAGACCCAGGGCTGACCTTAACCTTAGGTCAAATACTCTCGGCTTTATCTTAAAATGTGACAGATTCCAAGCAAAACGGTAGCTTGCCAAAACCTCCCGCCATCCCATCCCATCCCTACATCTGGAGGCAGAGCAGAGCATCACACAGATGTCCCCGCTCCCAGTGATAAAGGGCGGTACTGGCACACAGGTACTTCTTTCTTTTTTTTTTTCTTTTTTTTTATTGCTGTTAATTCAAGGAAAAAGGTTGCATAAAATCCAATCTCTTCTAGAAATATAAGTGACCTTTCCAGTACATTTCAAATATCAAAGTATATGGTAAACATACAAATAAAGAGAAGGTAACATACCTCCTATTTACAGTACAGTATTTTAAATCATAAAATAAGTTCCATAAAGTACAACTGGCAGGTAATTCACAATACGAGTCCATTGGTGGTTGAACACCCTCACTTCAACTCAGACGCGGTTCATTCATTTCAAGTGGTCCAAAAATACCCAGATCAAATAAAAATTTTAATCAAAATAATTTTCATTTACTACTTAAACTTCTTCTTTTTTCTTTTTTTTTTCCTTTTTTTTTTTTAAATTAAAGCTTTCATCTACCTCCCTCCCCATCCCCCCCTCCAAGAAAAAAGGTTTCAAAATGTACACTGGTGCTATAAATATAAATGCTACCTATGAAGAAATGTAGTCATCAAGCTGCTTCTTTTCTGTTCTTCTTCAAGTGTTTTGTTTGTTTAGCAATTTATGAGACGGCTGAACCAAGGACTGATTTGATTTCATCCCTCCACCGGACAACCCGGGTCTGATTCTAAGAAAACAACAACAAAAAAAACCCCAAACAACCCATTTCTGCCATGGAACTGTGAGGAATGCCAAACCCTACGGATATACAGTGGTAGTTGTTCGTCGGTGTTGAATGCAGCAGTCAAAAAAATACACTCGTCTTCCAGATAACCTCAGTGCACTTTAGGAAATCAAATATTACCTGGAAGCAATTTAGTACATATATTGGCTTTTAAAAATAAAATAAAAAATACAGCAGCATTAAACTTACTTACTCATGATACTGACAGGATTAATACCATCTTAACACTCATTTCAGTCTTTCACATTATACCGTAATTACGCATAGTGGTAAATTGTTATAAAATAGTGACTTTGCTATTTGGTAGACAGGCTCTAATACTAATACCTGACTATTTTGTAGAAAACCATAGCTTCTGTTCAGTTTGAAACAAAACATTTACATTCTAAGTACAACGCAACACTGTAAATAGTTTAGGAAAAAGAATATTCAGTCAAGTAACGTTCATTCGGTGTTGACACGATGCAGAATAGCTTTAAAAAAGGAAAAAAACGCTGTCAACTTTCGTTACAAATGCAAACACACCGAGTACAACATTCATACCATTGTTTCACCTTTGTTGCTGAACATACAGGCTAAAAAGCTACGATGGAAGAAAAAAAATCTGTCAATTGAAGCTCGTTCGGTTTTGTGGGTTTTTTTTTTTTTTTTAAATCTGCTCCAGTCCACACGGTTTCAGCCCCTTCCTGCTCTGCGCCTTCTCCTTCTGGTGGGACTCCCAAGAGCCGCGTGTACATGCTACTACCTGACGCAGCCCACGCACAGCGTCGCGCGTTCCCGCGGACTCTCCTAACGGGACCTCTGGAGGTCTCCCCTCAATCCGTCAGCGGTCATTTGGAGTACGGGCAGGGTCTGTACGAACTGCTAAACCAACTCGTGCAAGTCCAACAAATCCATGCGGACAACCGAGGAAAGAAAAATCAACCAGCAGCGTAAGGGAGAAGAGGGAGGGAGGGAAGATTGTGGCGGGGAAGGCGACCGAGTTCCTTCTTTCACCGTACGGCTGCTCCGCCAGCGATGCCAGAGGTCAGAGGACTGGTTTGTTTTATTAAATGCAGTAAACATTGCACATGTCTCAAGTCTTCAGTGCAAAAGCCTGGTTCGAACGCTCTGTGTGATTGTTTGGCTGTGTGTTTGGGTCACATGCATTACGCAAGCCTGTTGTACAACCGGGAGGAGACCGGGGACTCAAGCTTTTCTTCTCTTGTATGGAACAGAGGTGCAAAAGCCATGAAAAATTCCAAAAGAATATAAAACCGGGAATGTCCCAAAACACAAGACCACCCTCCCCCTCCCACACGCACACACACACACCCCTTCCCCCAATTTCCCAAGCTTCGGTTTAAGTAGGCAATGTTTACTTGTTTCAGTCTGCAGAATCCAAGGTATCATTGGAAGGGGGAGGGGGAGGTGCGTATCTCAGTCTGTAAGTGCCTAAAACAGGAAAGAGAACTACTAAGTCACTGCTCGCAATTAAAATGGATTACAAAACCACCACAAGGTATCAAAAATGGACATGCTCTTCAAAAGGCACTATCATCCTCCAGTCCTTTTAAAGTAGGCCCTAAGATCTGACACCGTTGCCTTTCACCTGCTTGCTAAAACTCTGAAGTTTAAAAAGAGGAGAGAGACCGTAGGTACAGGAAAAAAAGAGCACAGCCAAGACGACCCCCATCGAGGTTCATCTTTCCTGCCCCGGTCCGACCAACCACGGGAAGCGGGAACGGGCGCAGAAAACAAGCCTATGCCCCGTGCCACCCCTGCATTTCCCCCCACCCCGTCCTTCGGGAGGGAGAGAGAAATGGCGTATCGAGCCTGAAGAAGCCATTCCTCTGGGTTTTTTTGGCTCCAATTGGTTTCTGCCTTTTTGCAAAGTTAGAGCACGCTTCGTTTACGTGTGGCGTGGCGGGGCACAGAAGGATGGCTGCGCGTGCAAAGGTAAGCCTTAGAAAAGTCACTCTGTCAGATGGCCAGGCTCTTGGCTTTCTTTTCTTTTAAATTCTCCCAAGTTTTAAGAATCCGAGGTCGCATCACAGACAGGAATTGGTATCTTGCACTTTTTGCCAATGAATTCTCTCCAAAAAGAGCCACTGAACAGGAATGGAAAAATCGTAACGACATGCAAGTCTCAAGATAACGCCAAAAACCAACCAGTGAGAAAAGAATGACAATTTAGGACTGACGCGGTTTGACTCCCCAGCTCCGAATCACACCCCTTTTCAACTTCGGGCTGCGAACCCCGTTCCCTTGCGCTGTCCTACAAAAATTTTCAGGCAGAGATAAGATACTTCTTGCAGTTTTAGAGCAGGTCACTAGTGCACGACCATTTACACAAAACATACACACGCACGCACGCCTTTCTGCAAGACCAGAAACAGCACATTCAGAAAGGTAAAGAGAAACGGCTAAACTCAAAAGCAAGTCCGCTGGGAGTTATCGTGATTACCTTGTTGACTGGCCTCCATGGATGACTGCTTACAGTCCTGCGCATAGTGTCCACTTACACCACAATTGTAACATGAAACGTTCCCGTTCTTCTTGGGTCCCGACCCATTTGTGTTGGCAACTACGTTAGGTGCTGGATATACAGGATAGAACCTCCCAAATCCCGCCATCTGCTGCATACCATAGTTGGCTTGGCTCCCCATCACCGGGTCATGCATAAGCCCGTTTGCATATGGAGACTGAGGCAGGAAGAAAGGAAGTTGTGTTCCATTGCTTTGATGTGCTTGATTGAGGTAGCTGCCATTGCAAAGTGATGGCAGAGTGAAGAAAGATGGAACTCTGTAGACTTGTCCATGAAGAGGGTTATGATAAAAATAGCTATTAATCTGAAGGCTTCCATTGGTCCCGCAGCTACACCTACGTCCGCAAGAGCCGCAAGGACCAGACCCCAGCTGCTGCGGAGGCAACATTGTCCCGTTAGTGTTGTTGTTTCCCACCGCGTTTATGTAGGATGTGCTGTCACTCTGCGCAGTGCTGTGTGTCAGAGCAGGGCTCGGGCTGGGGGCAGGGCCTGGCGTATGCGTGGGTATGGCAGGAGGAACCGTGGACTGGACCTGACCGACACCTAAACCAGCGGACTGAGGTGGCGAGGAAGTGGCTACAGTGTTCAGCACATTTGTGTTCTGGCTGGGCAACACGCTGGTAGCGTGAGGGCTGCCTGGCAAAGTGTACGAGGCTGGTGGAGGGGGCGGCGCTGCTGTGGAGAGACCGGCTGCTGGAAGAACTACCTTGAGATTGGCAGGCTGAGGGATTGCTCCTGGGTTTCCCTCAATGTGAGGCACCATTTGATTCAGTCCTACCACCTGGGATGCAGGCTTTGTGATGGGATCTGTAGTAGGAACCGGGGATCCTGGGAAACTACCTGGATTGTGGACTGGGATAAAGGCAGTATTTGGTGATCCAATACTTAAGCTTCCTGTCGGCTGCTGGGGTCCGTTAACTGTGCAACTTTCCGACGATCCCTGTGGAGAGGGCATTTTCAACCTATGTATTGCCAAATGCAAAGCAGGGCTACCGGGCTGGACAGAATGCGGAAGGAAAGTGGATGGGACCGGCAAAGGGGAAGCCATCAGCTCGAGGCGTTTCTCGGGCTCGCCAGAGCTCGCTGGGCCCATTCCACCCGGCGGCGAATTTGCAGACTCTCTCACTGGCGAGACAGCAACAGGCGTGGTAACGAGCATTCCCATGGTTTTACCGTCTGCAGAGATGGGCGGTGGGACGACTGCTTCAGGCTTTTGGGCAGCGCTGTGCATCACACAGTGTAAGGCAGGCATGAAGGAAATATGTTGAAACTTGGCATTCAAAGCATCTTCTGAAAGGCTTCCGTTTTCGTTATTCGCTGAAGAGATCTGAGCAGATGATTTGTTCATATTTGATGAACTGACACCACTGTAGCCTGTAAACCTGGCTGTATTTTGATTCCCAGAGTCCTCAGAATTGCTGTCTGTATCTGTGGAGACAAAAGCATTTGTCGGTCAGAAGAACGAATCTGAAAGAAAGGAGAGTCATGCTCTGGACTCGTTTACCCACATAAAGCTTCTCAAGTTTGATGACACAAGTGACACATCTTCCCAAATTATAACAACCTTGGGATTGTTTCAATTCATCCCAATGGCGATGGGTCAGCCTCCATCACCTGCCTGTATCAGACTGCCCAACTACCTACTGTGTCTCTGACCCGGGCGTATCAGCAAACGCAAAGACCGGGGCACGGATCGAATTGGGAATTTGCATCTCCCTAGAAGGACGGTAGACAGTTCACTCAAATTTGGAAGGAGTGGCAGATTAAACTGACAATACAAACAGAAGGACCTCTCAGACATGCCACACACAGTTACGCCAAAGTTTCTCCCTTTGCTGTACTATTGAAATTTCCCAGGACGGCTGTGCCACCGAGGTCGGAAAAATGACCCCATGCATGCAGTAACCTGACCCTCAGCGGTATGTAAACAGTCCTGCTCATTGCCAGTAGCATCCGAACTGTCCAGTCACACCACCCACGAAGCAAAACGTGTTCTGCGGCTTGTTCACAGATAAAAACAGGTAATATAAAACGGAGAAACTGATTAAAATGAAAAAAAGAATGAGGTTAGTCTAAGGAATGAAGTCGTTCATGCACACTCTCCATAAATACAACCTCGGTCTTTCTCTTCTTCGCTATCAAAGCTTTCCCTCCCATCGTGTCGCGGGCTAGAAGGAGAACTGTAACTTTCCGATGATGTCTCTCCACATGTATCGTGACCAGATCCAGCGTCCAAATTCAGATCTAAAAATGAAAACCGGCATTTTTATTTTTAATCTCAGTATATGGAAGAGAGGTTATTGTGGTTCGCGCACATCTCACACTCGTTCAGGTGTTCGGGTGTTCCTGCTTAATTGCATCTGCCCCCTGTATTCCCACTCCCGGCATTCAGGGCTGGTCTCGTCCCTAAATCTGCAATGCCCGACTCCTTGGGTGTTGAAGAAGGTGACGCTGAAAATTTGTATTTATGCAGATTAGTGAAAGAACGCTCATCCTTAATAAATTTTGTGGTGCTTATACCAAAGTGTACTACAAGGATCATTTCCTCTGAACGGTGGTGCTCAACATTTCTGCTCAAAGAGACCCAACGCTCCGCGGTCACACCAGCACAGGCAGAAAGCTAACTCCACGGGCAGCATCAAAATCACACACGTTTTACAACAAACTCTTCCAGAACAGGCTTTAAGCCAACTGTATCAACAAAACCTGTTCAAAGAAAAAGAGATGAACTAAAAGAAGTGTAAAATTGTTTTCTAAATTCTGAATGGGATCATGGGAAACTCATTTGCTGGAAACCAAGTTTCAGCATGGGTTTAGACCCTATTAGTGAAGCTCCAGCTTCCAAGTTCAGCCTCAGAGGTGAAGGAGCAAGGCAGGCGCACGCTCTCTTGGCATGTATGCCAGACACTAGCTTCAAAGAAGCCCCAACCCCCAAAAAAGCTCGGTTGCCAGAACTCCAAGACAAAAATTAGAACACTATTATTAATTTTATTAATTCTAATAAA